TACATTGTGACATTTACAAAAGGTCCTACAATAGATCTTAGTTAAATTCACTCCCTCTATCATTCTCCTTTATTCCCCTTGCCCCCCCTTAGAATAAGGTCTCATTTAACAGGTCTTGTTTTCCATTTTCATACATGAGTATATTTGAGAAGTGTCTATTCAGATAATTTACCCATTTTAATTGGTTTACTTATTTTTAAATTTTTTAAACTACTTTTGTGTTCTGAATAGTACACAAAAGATGAATAGTTGGTGAATATTTTGTCTCAGTGTGTAGATTGTCTCTTTACTCTGTTAATTATTTTCTTTGTCATGTGCAAGCTTTTTAGTTTGATGTAATCCCATTAGTCATTTTTCCCCTGTGCTTTTAGGTCTTGTATAGAAAATCACTGCCTCTACCAATGTCTTGAAGTATATCCCTGATATTTTATTTTAGTAATTTCAGATCATGCATTTAGGTCTTGATTTTTGCACTTGGAGAGAGGCTGGGGTCACAGGCATGTGAATTCCATTTTTCCTAGCAGCATTTGTTGAAGAGGGTATCCCTTCTCCAATGTATATTTTTGATGCCTTTGTTGAAAATCAGTTGGCTCTAGATGTGAGTTTATTTCTGAGATCTCTATTTGTTCCATTGTATCATGAACCTGTTTTAATTTTCATGTTGTTTTGCTTTTTAGGTCTCTGCAATATGTCTTCAAATTAGGTGGTGGGATGACTTCCATTTGTTTTTTTACTCAAGATTGCTTCAGCTATTTAGGGTATTTTGTGCTTCCATATAAAGTTTAGGATTGTTATTTCTAGTTCTGTGAAGAATGTCATTGGTATTTTGAGGATGCTTGCATTTAATCTGTAGATCACTTTGGGTAGTATGGACATTTTAACAATATTGATTCTTCCAATTCATGAACATCGGAGGCGTTTCCATGTTTTGTGTCTTCAATTTCTGTCTTGACTGATAAAGCAAATTTCTTGCAGGCAGTATAATGTTGATTTGGTTTTCATCCATTGAGCCAGTCTGTATCTTTTAATTGGAGAATTTAGTCCATCTACATTCACAGTTATTGATAGTAAGAACTTACTCTTGTCATTTTATTGCTCTTTTTCTAGGTGTTTTGAATATTTTTGTTTTTCTTCTCTTGTTTATCTTTGTAGTTTGATGATTTACTGCATTGATAATATTTGAGTCTTTTCAATTTCTCTTTTTTGTATCCATTCTTCTAGTGAGTTTCATATTTTCACTTGCTTTCATGATGGTAGTTATCTGTTTCACTCCTGGATGTCAGACTCCCTTATGCATCTTTTATAAGGCTGGTTTGGTGGTCACAAATTATATTATTTTTTGCTTATCTTAGAAAGACTGTTTCTAATTAATCTCTAGAGGACAGAATTACTGTGTATAGTATTCTTGGTTGACAATTATTGTTTCAGGACTTGGCATATATCATTCCATTTCCTCCTGGAAATGTAGGATTTCTATTGGGTATCTGTTGAGTAATCAGTTTTTAAGCTAATGGAGATATCCTTAAATGGAACTTGGCACTTTTCTCTTGCAGATTTGAGAATTATTTCTTTGTCTTGTAAAGCTCTGGTAAAGCTATTTCTTGGTCATTATTTAGGGGTCCCATAAGCTGCCTGTGCATAGATGGCCCTATCTTTCCCAAGACTAGGGAAGTTTTCTGCTATTATTTCACATAATATGTTTTCTATTTCATTAACTTTTCCCTTCACTTTGGGTATTCTGAAAATGTGGATATTTGTTCACTTAATGGTTTGAAAACTCTCTTTAATCTTTTTTCATCTGATGGGGCTATTTCAAAAGACCTGTCTTCAAGTTGAGATATTCTTTTTGTCTGCTTGATCTAGTCCATTGAGGCTTTCAATTGAATTTTTTATTCATTCTTCACTTCCCAAAACTTTTGTTTGGGTCTCTTTCAAAATCTGTCAATGTTTCCTTGTATTCTCTGGGATCTTATTGTGCTTTTTAAAAATAATAATTCTTTTAAATTCTTTATCAGGCATTTCATCCACATTTATTTCTTTTAGATCTGTTGCTAGAGAGTTGTGTTTTTTTGTGAGGTACCATATTACCTTGTTTTTCTTATTTCTTGAGTTCCTTCATTGATATTAGCACATCTGTTGGAGCAGGTATCTCTTTTATAGGGTGGTCTTCTTAGTGTGTTTCTCATGAAGATGTTTCTTGGGGTGTTGGTTTATTATACAAGGTTGGCTTTATTTCCAGCTGGAAACCATAGTGTTGATTCTCTATAGCTTCTTTGACTGTGATTAATGACTTTGTGTATGTGGTAGACTTGGAGAGACTCACTGTCTCTGCAGGCCATGCATAAGTTGGGACACTGTAGCAGTTCACGAAGCTGTAATGTAGAAGTATAGTGATGGAGATTTCTTTAGGTACTGTTTATGTGAGCTCAGCTACTAGCAAGGGCCTGGGAGTGATGAAAGGCCTGAAGCACTTGTCCTTTGTGAGGCAGTGGTGGGAACTGCAACACTGCCTTTGTGTTGCTCACACCCAGTCCTGACAGTAGTACATGTCAGACAAGGTTGGGAGATGGGGTGGCAGCACAAATGGTGGTATTTCTTTCTCCTGGTGACAGTGCATGCCAAAAATTGGGGATGGTAAATTTTCCTTGCAACTGTCTTTTACCATTTATGACTGGGGTTCCTCCCACTTCTTCTTCAGCATGCATTGGGCACAAGGCAACCATAGAACCATGGCATTCACTCCCCACCCTGTCAGTAACAGGCACCTGAATGTGGCACTGTCGCTGTGGGAACCACATGGTCACCTACTTTCAGTCCTTGAGGATTCAGTCATGAATCCACTAGGATTAGGTCACAGTCAGGCTGGTGAGGCAGCTACCACTTACCCAATGTAGTGGAATGTCTGTGAGGTCCCAGAGATGGGAATACATGGGAATTTCTAACCCTCAGTGCAGTTTGAACTCAAAAAGTAGCTCACTTCTGAAGATGGCTCCAGGCCACCTGGGTGTTTGCTGGGACTCTTTTTCAGTCTTACCACTGGAAAGGGAAGAGTCCTGTGGCTATGGAGTTAGCATAGCAAATGCTGGGGTGTTTTGCTTCTCTTTCCATGCAGTCTTCTAAAGCCTCTGAATCTCACAAGGTTCTAGTCTCTCTCTTGTTGATTCCAGTGCTCTCCCATGGTTACTCACTTCAAAATTCCTGCTGTTTTGGTCCTTTGTGAGCCATGGTTTGCTTTTATTAGACCCCTGGGAGCATGAACACATTTATTGGGTATACAAGTGGTTTTTCTACCCTCTGTGCTAGGATTAAGTCCCCTTTAATAGGGACAGCAAAAAAAAATCTCTAAGCCTACTGGCATACAGTGGGAAGAAGTGATGGGGAAAGGAAAAGAACACAAGAAGGACATGAAATCAAAGAAAAAGTTGAAGTTGGATGGAAAAGAATTGGGAGTGATTCTTCTAACTCAGCAAGTAAATGTAATAGAAGTATTGCTTTCCTGTAATCATATGAAATTCACAAGATGAACACATTATGTGGTAGGCCAGTATTCTCTGCAAGTGCTTAGAGGTTATCACTTCATTATTCTATCTTGAAAACAGAAATTTATTCATATTTTAATTGAATGAGAAACTGTAAAATAGCACCCTTAAGTTGAATAATTCAAGTTTATAATAGAGATCCTGAAGATATAAATATTTCAAAATGACTTCTAAATCATTCTAACATTTGAAATAATTTATATGTTAATAAAATGTACTATTTAATGCTTAGGATGTTCAGGTCTGTTAGCATATCCAATAAATGTATTTGTTCTGGTTCAAAATCAAAATTTGCTTAAAAGCCTACTTGGAATCAAAGGCAAGTATTAACCCAAGTATATTCTATGAAACACTAGTCCCAAAAACTCTGAAGAAAATTAATAACACTTTTCTAGTCAATTCTGTTTACTTACCACCTTGGGAATTGATTTCCTGCTTGTGTTTCATCACATACTATTTTATTTTGGATTAAAATGAGATAGTTGTGCTGTATTACATCACAATAAAATAATCCATTTTAAACCAGTTAGTTCTTAAACTCTGATTTTTTTTTTTTTTTTTTTTGGTGTGGCTCAGACAGACTTCATGACACTAGCATGTTTGTCATACTGTATGGCAGGCCTTGATTGGAAACAAAGGAGTGAATTTATCTGATGTACAAAACAATGATAATCAATTGCTAAACTTACTGGAAGGGCCAGTAAGTGTCAAAGTATGCCTCTCTATTTATATAGTATAACTACAATTCTTACCAATGGTCTTTTGAAAAGTGTTAGGTAAAAGAAAAAGTCTGGCAGTTGGCTGGAGACTGGTTGTATTTTGTAAGGAAATCTCTGGAAGGAACAGAAATAAGATGGTGACTCAGGAAAAAAAATGGGACCAAGTGCTCTAAATTTCTGGCAAATTTGTTGACTGATGGGTCAGTGAGTGACCCTGGACATCAGAACAGATAATAGAGGCTGGCGGCTTACTCTTACATTAAGAGTGAATAAGTAAAAAGCTGGCTGTGTCCACACCGTAACCAAGTATTTAGAAAAGAATTACTGACAAAGAAAGCCAGAAGTGGAAGTGGAAAGAATCTCTCCTGAGCTGGGTGAGGGGCATTCATATTGAAGCTGGAGCCTGGGGTAAGGAGAATCTCTTTCAAGTATCAGTCAGTTAACATTGGTAAATGTTACATGCTGTAAGTGATTTTTTACATAATCGTTCCAGGAGCACATGGTTCAAGCAAAGAGGGGGTGGTTGATAAGATTTACTTTTGACACTTCTTGATTGGAGGAGTTGACATAGTTTTCCTAGCTAGATTTTGAAAACCAAGTAGTTATTCCCTAATATAAGTTTGACTTTGGGAGGTAGGGACAAAAAGGGTACTATCTTGTGCATTATGCGAATACTTAAATTTTATTCTTATGATAGCTCATCCAGGAAAATTATGTAAAGGGGGCAGCCCCCAGGACTTACATCTCTTCCAATCAGGTCCTCCTGGTTTTCCACAATTCCCCAGGGGGCAATACCTATGGTGCATATCTTCCCTCGAGATTTAGATGCATGATCCTTCAAGGCATCTCCAACATGACGAATAACACCTATGAACAGAGAGAGGAGTATTAATATTGTCTTTTTCAGTAATGACCTTTCCATCACCCTATAGGATATTGTGATTATTTCTCCCAAGGTGAAATGAATTGAATATAATCATTTCCATATAAGCCATACATATGTAGGACAGACTACATAAAATTGTGGCTATAATGCTAGGAATATTTGCCAGACTTGATACAAACTCCAGCAATGCATTTCTTATTCTAATTTATATGGGCAAATAAAAAGCAGTCAGTATCTATGAAAAAAATAAAACAACTCTTTGAACTTAGAGAATCTTTCTTATAAGCATAATCACTTGTTAGTATTACTAAGAATCAACTTTGTAACCCAGAAAAAGTACCATATGCAACATGATCTTAAATCTCTACTACAGTTTGTAAATGAATCAGGGTCATATTCTTTATTACTTAGCTCAGATTTTATTAACCTTAATTTTACCTTCGTATTTATAACATATGATGTAGAAAGCCTAGTTAGAAAGAAAATGTTGGCTTATTCTGTGGAAAATATGTTAAAATGTATAAATACACCTGTAATTTTCATCATTCTAACTATTACCCCCTCATAGTTAAAAGTGAAGAAATTCAGTTTATAAATGGTAGGGAACTTCTCTCTTGACTTTTTATAAACCATTTAAAGAGATTCAATTTATCATCTCTTAACATCTCTCTAATAATCACTTCTATTTTCTAAGAAAAGATGTTTCTAATTATCAAAACTTATGCATTCCACAAGGAAAAACTCATACCCAGTGTCATCTCCTATATGAACATGGGATTTGATTGCTCTTTTACTTGCACTTATTGCATTTGAACAGCTCAATATGTCACCTAACACATCCTGCAGTTATTCATAATCACACATGAGGATGTATCTTCTAAAAGACTGGACAATCAGCATATTACTCAACTTCGTGTGCCTAAAGGAATAGTCTAGCTCAAATTAAGGGCTAAGAAACTGAGCTGAACTAACTAAACATACAGAACACACCAGACAATTTAATTATGGAAGAGAACATACATGTTTCAGTAACTCAATTGTAAAATAGTCATAAGGTCAAACAAAAAGAGCTTCCCTTTAAAAAATCAAGTAAAATAGTTTAAATGGCCACTAATCCAGGTTGGCTATGCTGGGAGTATTGAGGAGAATGCCATTTTCATTTTAGATTTTCTAAGTAAGACTACCACTCAAACAAATCTACAAAAAATGAAAGTAAATCTGTGTATATTAACGTTAATATGCAAAACATAGAAGGACCAGGCCTGAATAAGAAGTTTAAGTTCATGTATGTCCCTCTGTCTGCCACAATTTTCTTATTACCTCATACCTAGCTTTTGCTCCATGATTAGTACCTCATATTTTGGGCCAGAGATAATCTCTTTGGTTTATAAGTGAGCTGTAAATTCATTTGCCGTTGAATACAGTTGATAAGAGAAGAAAAACAATAAGCAATGTCTCGATTTCCTAACAATAGACTATTGGTTAGAATTTCTTTTGAACCTTTGGAATCCATTGGGTTGGTCTTTGTCAATAGAGCAAAAGACTAAGTTACAAGCAAGTAATTTCTACATAGTGCAGAGTAAAATGTGAAGCTTAAAATCTGAGCAGTCATTGCAAGAAGAAGTATTCTTTGAATATTCAATTACTGTAGAATAAAAAGTAAAGAGCTGACTGAGCTGGTCCATATAAGATCAGGGCAGTTTATGGACTGAATTTCATACAGCAACTCTGGGCATGGGCAGTACGCCTAGTCCACTGCTGAAACGTGCCTGTGTGTGCTGACTGTTCGTGAATTGTAGACATGATGGAGATTTTGCAGTACAGCTCTTAAGCATGTAAGCCAAAAATACAAATAACATTGAGATAACATAGTATTTAAATCTAGTTTTTCCAGAGATATGTTCAGGATGTCCCACTAACTCCATGTGTCCACCTGAAGACATATATAGTGTGAGGCTTGTGATGAGTTTGCACTAATTTACTATAATATTACTTGTGCAATTCTAATTGGAACTTCTGACTCAGGCTGGGGAAAAATAGCAAGAAAGTTTCCAGGCATCCAATCAATTAATTATAATGCTTGTAGATAAGCACTTAACTGTAAGAGGGCTTGTAAGAATTGATTTGGCAGGGTGCCCGTATCACAATATAGAAACTCATTTGGCAGGTAGGAAAAGATGTTTGAAATTCAGAGTGAGGTTTGTCATCTACAAAATGCTTTAATGAAGTATTTAAAACAATAAACACACAGTAACTTAGACTTTCCATCACAATTTATATCCCAGATAGATATGGTATATTTTATAAATATTGAAGCTATTTGGCACCAAACTTGAAATCACTTAAAGAGTAGAGGCATAGTTTCCAATTTACAGCAGAAACTATTCTTTAAAAATATTATTGGATATTGGGCTGAGGACATGGTTCAAGTGGTAGAGCAAGTGCCTACAAGTGTAAGGCCCTGAGTTCAAACACCAGTACTGTCAAAATAAAAATATTGGATGTTTATGTGACAATTTCAGCTATTGGAAACATCCTCTGAAATCCCATTAGTCATGTTTACAAACTTTGCACAGTCAACAATGAATAACATACCTGTTACTTGTGTGAAATTCTTCTTAGTTGAGAAATAACTGTATAGTTATCATTTATGAAAAGGAGGGATAGCCAGGGAGGGTATACACACATGGGTAAGGGTGAGGTGGGAAATATAAATATACTCGACCTTAGGAGAAAATTGTCTTATGCACAAGATTCTCATGACCCTATTCTCCTTTCTCTGCCCCACTCCAATTACCTGTGTTAACCCCTCCAGTGAATATCCATGCTCCAGTTGTCATGGCAGCTTTGATGAGCCCTTTCCCGAAGACTTGCTTGAGTTTGGGCTGGAGTTCAAAGTTCTGCAGGCCCCCGTGGACAGAGATGAGAAGCTTGGGAAGCTCCAATTGCCATTCCTTGGTCATGAGGTGCAGGAGGAGATCAGGTTTTGTATCAAAAGATACGCGCACATACTAGAAAAAGAAAGGCTATCAATTAGGGAGACAGGCAGGACTGCTTGAGGCTGTTATTCTTTACTGATTGAAATTATATGTGTCCCTACTTGAACACAATGCCTCATGAGAAATCAGATATTTTAAAAGGGGGTGGTCCTTTCCTTTACCCCAAAAGCCTCACCATTTTTAAAGGTTTGCTTGAAATTTTGCATTACTTCAAACTTGAAAATTATTTGATTTTTTAAATGTAGTTTAAGCACAATTTTCCTGGAATGAGTTCTTTGCTCCAAAGAAACCATGTTTATATTTTACCATTGTTTATACTTGTGCAACAGTTCAAATGTTTCCAACATATTCAGTGTGAGCCATCCCTTCAAATAAACTAGAGGCAGATATAGCTGTGTTTCATGACCCTATTATTTTGACAGGCTGTAAAAGATTCTATAGTTCAACATAGTGCAATTAAAAGTTTAAAGTAGCAGATTATATTTATGTTTATAATAGTACCCCAATTATTTTTCTTTTAAAGTGACAAGAGGCACTATTCCTATAGAATAGTTGGAAAATTAAAGTTTATAGCAGAAATCAAGGTTTTACTCAATGCAAATGGCAGTGAAGTTAGAGGCACATATAAATGAAGTGCTATAAATACAATGATAGTCGTCTATTGGACCATATACATGATACTCATTAAGGTCTTAGTTTAATTACATAAAGAGTTCTGTTTTTTAGCTGGAAACAACTAAAATACTAGGTAAAGAAAGTGTAAGTCCTTGGAAGTGTATTATTGAAATGGCATGAAAAGAAAGAATATTCAACTCTTAATAAAGTAGAACCTGGACCCTCAAGAGAGAAGGGAGTACCAAAACAGTGTTGGCCTTGAGGGTCTCTCCTAAACCCTGCGGATCTTGAACATATGATTTAATGGCTTTACGCAGTATGGGAGAGTTGACTGGGTCTTGAAGAAAGCTGGTATACTTCTACTTCAAAGGACTCCACCCACATAAGGAAGTAAAACATAAGTAACTCTGAACAGAAAATAGCAGTAAGGAAACTTGTCTACCTCAACCTTGACTCTGGATAGATGGGGAAACAAATTCCCTTCTGATTATTTTTAAACACAAGCAGACCATCCCACAGGTGTTGGTTCACATTGGTACCACCAGTGTGGCTTAAGATATACCAAACAGAGTATTAATTTGAGTGGTTCTGATTGAGTAATGGCTGCAGATAACTGGAAAAGGCAAGTGCAAATCTTCCGTGGAGGAATGTCTCATCAATACAGGACTGAATTAACACTCATGGGGAAATAAGCATTCCTTAGTAATAAAGTACACAAGGAAATAAAGCAGCATGAATAAGAACCAGGGGAAACAACAGACAGCAGTGTAAGAACTTCAGACATCGATTATAGAATATAAAAAAGCTATATTTACCACATTAAAAAACAAATGAGATGAGTGAATATATGAGTAAGGAACAAGAAACGATAAGGAATTTGAAAAAAAAGCAGCACTTATAGAAATCAAAATATGACGTAAGTGAAAATTCCAATGCATAAATTAAACTACACCGTAGACACACTGACAATAGGTTCAGGAAACTAATAACCAAGGCAGCCTAGAAAGACAAAGGAATTTAAAACATAAAAGAAAAGTGAAGAACCTTTGAGGACATAATTAGAATGCTAGACCAAAATAAAAGAAAGAATGGGAGAGAGGCATTGGTGGGGTATTTCTCAGAATTATTGAAATGTACCAAGCCTCACGTCTAAGAACCTCAATGAAATCTAAGCAGGATAAATGAAAGGAAATTTCATTCACAGGCAAATCATAGAGAACACCACAAGGGAGGGGAAATCCCTTCAAAATCAGGTAGGAACAAGGATCACCATGAAGAAATAGTCATTAGATAGGAGCCCTCGTCCTCAACACCGGCAATGGATGCCAAAAGCCAGCATCTTCAATGAGCCAAGTGAAGTGATCTGTCTAAAATTCCACATTTGGCAAAAATATCTTTCAAAAATGCCTGCAAATTATAGGCATTTTATGACTATCAAAACTGAGAGAGGTGAGCTCTAACAGACTTCACTGAAGGAAAATTTAAAATATATACAATAGACAAAAATTACATGATCCAGAATAATATGGGATGATAACTTAGATATTAGTAGCTATATGGTAAATTAAAAAAAAACCAAAATTGGTTGAATACTATGACATAATTATGTATAAGTTATGGTAGAACTAAAACTCTAGACAATACAGTATTAGAAGTAGTCAAAATTGTAGTATTCTTAGATCTATATGTTGCGTGGGAGAGAAAAGAAAGGTATTAACTTTTGACCAATTACATGCACAAACACGCTTTTGTGAAGTTAGTACCTGGGCTTACATGTGCATACATTAAATCACATACTGCTTTACAGTAAACTTTTTTTGTAAGTAGATGGACTACACTCTAAAATGATAAAAAGTATAACAGAGTAATGCATAAGCCAGTTGCAGTCATTTACTAGTAAGTATTATGCATTGTATGTAATTTTATGTGCTATACCTGTATAGGACTGGCAGCGTAGCCATTTTGTTTACTCTACTATCACCACAAACAGGTGAACAATGTGTTGTGCTACAACATTTAGACTTCTATAATGTCACCAGATGGTGTTTTTCAGCTCCATTTTCTTACGGAACCACCATAATATGTGTGCTTCATTGTTGACCGAAATGTCATTATGCAGCATGTGGATCATATTTTACTGTGGTCCAGGCACAGCGTTCCACAGTAAAGATCCATAATGTTTTGGGGGTTCCATCTCATAAACTCATCTAACAACAAACATCCACATTGTACCAGTGGAAAAGGAAAGGATCCACCAGATTTCCCAGTTCACATTATTAGTGGGGAGTGATGACATTCATACCATAGGTCTGAATACAGAGCCTTTTCTCTTAACTGTTAAGTTATAAATGCCCTCTTTTCATACTTCTCTTCATTTACCTACAACCAACTAGTCTCTAACTCATAATTATCCATTTCTCAAAATGAATCCCTCTATTCCTATTCCTTCCCTCTATTCCTTCAGGTGCCATTTTAACAATACATTCTTTTTTTTCTTTTATTCATATGTGCATACAACTTTTGGGTCATTTCTACCCCCCCACCCCCTTGCTTCCAGGCAGAAACTATTTTGCCCTTATCTCTAATTTTAACAGTACATTCTTTAAGGATGTCAGTTTGGGCTGTGGTAATACTGGCTTCTCTAGCCCTAATCTTTCTATGAGAAACAAATAGGCAGATTTCTTTGTCCAATTACTTTTTTAATCATAGTATTTTCAATTTCAGTCTTTACATCACATATAAATTTCCCTTTCTGGCAGTTAGGGGTCCACCATAATTTGGCAAGGTGTTCCCCCCATTTCATTGTGCAACTTGGCTATTCCTCAAGTCTTAGGTAATGCAGTCCCTGCTCTTTCACTGCCAGAAATCATTCATATCTTTCAAAGTCTTTGCTTCATTCACAATGAATTGTCCTGAAAATACAAGTCCATGCCGATGCAGATGCAATATGACTCTCAACCCAACCAATGTGATATTGTTTTCTGGTTGCTTATTCCATATGCCATCTTATCTCCATGTTACAAGACCTTTGAGAGAAGGATTTTGTTGGATCTGATCACATTTTTTGGTAAGCCTTTCAGTGTTGGTTGTGATGTAGTTACAGTCTTAGAAATAAAAGAAAGCTGAGAGACAGCTCAGCATCATGAAACCCTAGAGATCATCCAGTTCAATTCTTCTGCTTCATAGACAAGGACACAGAGATCCAGGGAAGGGTGGAATCCCAGAGCTAATTACCCAATAATCATTTCATCCATTACTCAAGCCTTGTCATTACAGCTACTACTAACATCAGAGGCTCTAGGTTGGGCTGTTTTTCTCAATTATAACATGCACATCACTCACCAGTGACCTTATCAAAAATGCAGGTTCTGATACAAGAAGTCAGGGTGGATGAGTGAGAGAAAACATTCTCCAGCAACACATCAGACAAAGGACCGATAACCAGAATATACAGGGAACTCAAAAAACTAAACTCTCCCAAAATTAATGAACCAATAAAGAAATGGGCAAGTGAACTAAACAGAACTTTCTCAAAAGAAGAAATTCAAATGGCCAAAAAACACATGAAAAAATGCTCACCATCTCTAGCCATAAAGGAAATGCAAATCAAAACTACACTAAGATTCCACCTCACCCCTGTTAGAATAGCCATCATCAGCAACACCACCAACAACAGGTGTTGGCAAGGATGTGGGGAAAAAGGAATCCTTGTACACTGCTGGTGGGAATGCAAACTAGTACAATCACTCTAGAAAAAAATTTGGAGGCTACTTAAAAAGCTAGACATTGATCTACCATTTGATCCAGCAATACCACTCTTGGGGATATACCCAAAAGAATGTGACACAGGTTACTCCAGAGGTACTTGCACACCCATATTTATTGCAGCACTATTCACAATAGCCAAGTTATGGGCACAGCCAAGATGCTCCACTACTGACAAATGGATAAAGAAAATGTGGTATTTATACGCAATGGAATTTTACACAGCCATGAAGAAGAATGAAATGTTATCATTCTCAAGTAAATGGATGGAACTGGAGAACATTATCCTAAGCGAGGTTAGCCAGGCCCAGAAGACCAAAAATTGTATGTTCTCCCTCATATGCGGACATTAGATCAAGGGCAAACACAACAAGGGGATTGAACTTTGATCACATGATAAAGCGAGTGCACACAAGGGAGGTATGAAAATAGGTAGGTAACCGCCCCCCTCCCAAAAAAAAGATAGCATCTGGTCTTCAATGCAAAGGAACTAAAGCAGAAACTTGAAAGCAACAGAGGCCAATAGGAGAAGGGGACTAGGAACTAGAGAAAAGGTTAGTTCGAGAAGAATCAATTCAGAAAGTAACACATATGTACATGGAAGCAATACTAGGAATCTCCCTGTATAGCTA